GGCGCGTGGGGAGCGGCAGCGGGGCCCGCCGGGCTGAGGGACCCTTGCCGCTTCCCCTCAGTCTCCCTCGAGCTCCTGGAAGGGAGAGGTCGGCTCAGGGCTGGGAAGCGACGCGGTGGAGCTGGAGCTGAGCAGCGAGTCCGCCGGGCACCGCTTCACACACGAGAGGAATTGCCCTGGGCGCGGCACGAGGGCTGGGCTCTCCTGGGGGGAGCCTGGAGCCTGTATGTGCCTGGGGGAGCTGCTGTATTAGGTGCGAGTGCTTCGTTTGTACCTTCTCGGGTTTGGCAGCGTACAGATGTGCTTAGCACCCTTGGCAGTGCTGCTCAATCCTAGCGTGCCCACTGTGCCCCGAGTCCTTATAGCACGGATGCTGGAAGATGCAGTAACAGGCGCAAAAGCTCTGCCTGTGTTAAGGTTTGTATTGCCAAGCCATGCCCTCTTTGATTTCATTCCTAGTTGGCTGAGAGTGACTTTGATTGTGGGGATGAAAAAGTCGTGCGTTTGGTATGGACTGCCAAGAGGAGGGCATCGCTCTGTTTGGATGCAACCAAACTTTTCTAAGATATAACTCTTTCCGTGCAGAGTTGCCAAAGTTTCCTAAACATGCAGTAATAGTTGCGGTTTGTCTGTGAAGTGCCTGAAAAACTAAATGTTAAACAAATGTTGTTATCTACAAATTGTGTAGTGTTGGCGTATTGTGGTGATCTTTAGCCGCAAGGCATTTGTCATATGAATATAGAAAATTAGGGTTGGAAGGGACCTCAGGAGGTCATCTAGTCCAGTGGTTTTCAACCTTTTTTCATTTGCGGACCCCTTAAAAATTTCAAATGGAGGCGCAGACCTTTTTTGAACTGGAAGTGTGGGTATTCACATACTTTTGATTACTCAGTCATCTTTCTTAGACATAAGTCTGTGGGACCCCCAGGGGTCCATGGATCACAGGTTGCAAACCTCTTGCCTAGTCCAACCCCCTGCTCAAAGCAGGACCATCCTAAACTATATCGTCCCAGCCAAAGCTTTATCTCCCAACATGTGTTTTTGGTGAGGTTTTTTCCTGGCAGTTTAAGTTCAGACTTGATTGACAGTTTGAGAGTTTATCTTAGGATGTTCAGAATAGCTGGACAAAAGTTAATTAGGAGTTTGGATAGATTAGCTAGTATTTATGCTAAAGGAGTAGGTTTATACATAAGAGGAATTCCACTGAATTACTTGTGTGCATAGCTGTTTGTAGCCAAGGGCCCGACTCTTTTTGGGGTGGGGGAAGTCTGCCGCTTGTATATTGGCAAAGTATTTTCTAAGATGCAAGGTGCTTCATTATTACCTTAAAAAGTCTGAAAATGTACAGATAAATTTAGTCCTCATTTCCCAACCTTCGTATGGCTGCTCAATCCTAGTGTACTCCGGACAAAGTCATTATAATATAGATTTTGGAAGATACATTATTAACATGTACAAAAGCTCTGTCTACGTTAAGGTCTACATGATCACTGAATTTGCAAGTGAAAATGTGTCCAAACCGCATATGCATAGGCAACTCTAGTATGTCTGATGTCATTCTTAGCCTTTTTTTTTCCAAACTGTAAGAGATTGAAAACTGACATTTGCTTGTTTTCACTTTTGTCTCTGGAAACCCTGGGGACATTGAAATGAACAAGTATTAGGTCTATTTCACTGTGCTACAGAAAGTTAGAGTAGCATTAGCAGCACCAGAGACTGATATTGAAGCTATATATGGTATATAGGGGAGAACTGAGAATCAGTGGCTGGAAGAGAGGAAGATTAGTGGAAACCACCAGCACAGCATGCAGAAGGATTTCTAGAGGATGGCATTTTTCTCTTCTGATAATTGGGTGATTCTTGGGATGAGGGGAGGAAGAAGTCAAAATGCCCAGACAGCTGCTCTTTGGAAGCTGCAAAAGACAGGACTCCAAAGCCAAGCCAAGGGACTGCATGGTATTTTGGGTTCTCCCTTTTTAATTTTGTGGAGAACCCCAACCTCATTTTTAGTGGGTGTGACTTCTTGTCAGAAAATTACTCCTGGACAATGATGACCTTAGTTTAGCTTAGTTCTTTGACTCTTAAATGGCTGGTACATTTTTCAAGCTCTAGATAGCTGTGTGTCAGTATTTGTAAGTGGGTGGTTGCATCAAAATGTAGAAGTGGGATGGGCAAGTGGGGGAGAGAGAGAGAAATCAGTGGGAGTCTTTAGGGAAA